GAGGGAGGGAGCTTATTACTTAAAGTGGGTAGAATCATAGAGACAGGAAGCAGAATGGTGGTTGCCATGGGCTGGGGGAAGTGGGAATGGGAGTTACTGTTTATTGGGTAAATACTTTCTGTTTTATAAGATAAAAAGAGTTTTGAAGACAGATGATGATGATGGTAGCAAACAATGTGAATGTACTTAATACTGCTGAATTGTATACTTAAAAATGACTAAGATGGTAAATTTGACATTATGTGCCTTTTACCACAATAATAATTTTAGAAGAAGAATGGTATGACTCCTGATGCAATGTGAGCATCTTCATAGAGTTCTGGGGGGACCCGGGGCCTAGGGGTCTTGAGGGGTGAATACCGTAATTTCAGGTATTACAAAGCCAAGGAGCTGCAAGGCAACCCCTTGCTGGAAGGCTGTTGGGTTGGGGCGGGGGTCTGAGTCCGTCTATAATCGGTTGGCAATTCTCAGCATCCATCAGGTGTGGCTGCATTTGCACTGCCTCTCTCTCTGCTACTCACCCCCCCATCACTTCCTTGGCAGAGGAGACAGCCTCCACCTCCACCTGTGCCCCACTGCGTTCTCCTCTGAGCATGTGTAATGCACAAGTTGCCTTGCATTTGAAAAACAGACTCTCCATCTCCATATGACAGCATGAAACTCTGTGGTGGGTTTGCATTTCTTAATTAGGTGCTTGTCATTGCGAATTCCATAGAGCCACGTGTAAGTAAACAGTCAGAGACCTTTGAATAAATTTATTGGTTTTATTTATGTTTCTGGGCATAAAAATCTATAATTACCAGGTACAGCCTCAGTATAACTGGTATTTAATGACAATTACTTTTTGTTACCATAGAAATGAGTCCAAAGTAGTTACCCATAATTTCTCATTTCCCAAACCTCACACATGCTGGATTGCAATATTACCATAGTAATTGCCTATTAGTCATCATAAAATACGCAGTTACCCGAAAGATAGCAAGACGCCGTGAAATTTCTCATCTTCAGAAAACCTCAGTGCTGTTGGGAGCGTGGGGCGGGGGCGAGGCCCGGGCTCCGTGGGAGGTGGAGAGTGATTCAGCTTCACAGCCTGGCACCGTGGCGGGGACATGCTGCTGGCTCCTCAGACCGGCGCCCGTTATGTCTCCTGGCCCTGGCACTTCTCGCATCGCGTCGCAGAGGATGCTCGAGTGCAGTAAATCCAATTTAACTAAGGTTTGCTGAGGGCCTGCCGAGTGTCAGGCCCTGTGTGGGGCCTCAGGGAAGCAGGTGGAAATCAGAGGCGGCCCTTCTCCATAAGAAGCCCTGTGTTTAGACTGGAGGGGCGTGCGTGATGCCGTGGAGGCCTAGTCTAAC